GGCGTCTCGTCTTGGTAGCCGCGCAAACGCCGACCTCTAAAAATCGTCCTAGGCATTCCGCCAACACATGGCCCCGGGGCAATTCGGAGCTATATGGGGCTGAGCCTCGCGCAGTTTTGATGAAATTTTGTGCTTTCTAATGGCGTCACTGACTTAAATCGGGCAAATTTTGCGCTCTTATAGTTAAATATATGCTGTGTGGCCTGTATAATGCATTTCCGGACGAAAAGAATCGACAGAAATTCATTCTTCTCTAAGGCGGATATTGACCTTGTTTAAGTGGGTCATGTACACGGTCACGTGGACGGCACTTTTACGTTGACTGTGTGCACGCCAGATCGATACAGCTGTTCAATCGATATTCCATATCCGGATCGTTGAGACTGCCGTACGTACGTACTGCATGGAAAAAGGAAATGGATAAAGTTATCCATTTCCTTTTTCCATGCTTCTATGCGATGCAATATGTCATTTAAATAAGTAAACGTTTTGTTATAGTCTCTAAAACCGGACTTAAAGATACTGATAAGAATGGCTCATAATCTGACTGACTGAATGTAGTGTATGGCGGAATTTATCGAAGCGCCTTGCACAAAATGAATAAGTGTGCGAAGATGGCGTATTACGCCGCCACCGATGATCCCTCGCTCCCGTCCACGTCTTCTGTGGTAACGGAGCAATCACATGAACACCAGATGCCCCACTTTAACCCAGAATTATTTTTGTAGCTGAGTTTGTTTCTTACAGGAGTCTGCCGTGGATGGCGATTTCTGTCAACAGAACAATGCTAATTAATTGACCGAACAATAGGATGTGTGTCCCATATGCCACCTTTCCGTACTCATCTACCCCATTTTTATTTTACATTTTAAATAAACTTCCGCATGCCTATACCTGCTGTCCATTGTTTTGGTTCGTGTAGACCTCGATACACGTATGATTTGTCGACGCAATCACTGTAGTAAATGAGGGGGGGTTACATTTAGTACACGTAAGGGGCATGGGCGTTCCGCGTTCCCATGTAGAACATTATAACCTGATGTACGGGGAATTAGGTAAGGGAAAATACCGGTGACATAGCAGTGAGGTTAATATCACGGAAAGGATGGTGTCCCCCTGCGCGTTTTTTTTCAAGGACGGGGCCATAAGGGGCTTTCGCGTCTACAGCCCCGTCATAGCCCCGCCCATATTGGGCATAGCCCCTTCTGGCCCCGGGGGCTTGACGGGGCCGGACGGGGCTGGTGTTAGCAGGGTAGCAATGAGCAGGCGAAACTTATTCTTTCCGGGTGTTTTCGACTGAAGTATTCCCAAAAAGGAGTGTTTCTTAGCCGGAGTACTCACCTGCCGAGAGAACGAAACGGCGCGAACTCGTCCTAGAATTGAGAACACGGCAAACCAACGGAGAAGAAAACTTGACAATCCACAAAAACCGGATAGTAAAAGGACATTCCGCTTCCCTCAGAAGCAAACCGATCCGAATGACCGTACAGATACCCCAGTAGCCTGTGTCAGGGTTGAAAACAAATTTTGCATGATCTCGAAGCTAGCATTTATGTGTAAAGTGTACTTTCAAAACTGGATAAACTCTGTATCAATACCTACGACCTCCACGCAGACGTTATCTCAATAACATGAACATGGTTATCAGAACAGGTTGGTGATAGGGAGCTCGTGCTTTTGGATTTCAACTGTTCCGCAGAGACAGAGAAAGCAAAAGGGATGGAAGCATAATAATATCTGTTAAGAAGGACTTGTACGTTTCAGATGAAGTGCCAACTTGACTTGTAGTACGGAAGCATTATGGTCGACCATAAGGGCACCCCGCCCTCAAAGTCTCGATATCTTGACGGTACATCGTCCCCGTGAAATGACCTTGACGCTGATACCCAACTGCTGGAGTAGTTCAGATTATTTTCAACGCGGCCGACTACTCTCATCGTTGGAAATTTTAATGTACCTCACATAAATTGGAGCTCGGCCTCAACCGACCGCTCTGAAGCAGCATTCAACCAGCAGCTACTGCGTACCTCCGAAAATCTGCCTCTTACCTAGCACTTATCTCTTACCCAAACTTCCTAGTGCCATAATTTTTCAAAATAACCCACTCAGAATGCCTCACCATAAATGACCTAGGTCTAAGTTATACAAATAAGTTTGCTTTATCACCTCATGCAGATAGAATCTCTTCAGATTGGCAAAGTTGAGATATCCGGGATGATTATTTGAAGACGAAGACGGGCTCTCCGGAAGAGGTTTATTTAAGTGCTGACGTTTCAAAGAGCTGGGTCGGCTCTTCATTGTCAAAGCGTAAAATGCAT